GATATTCAGATCAGGGAAGATTTTGAAACGTGTTTTATTCTTTTCTTCAAAATATCAAGAATCTCTAAGAAATGTATAGTAGCTAGTGACAGACGACGAGTATCAGGATATCCATTTAATTGGCATCACTAAATGCAATAAAACATATTGGAGAATCGGCCGAAAAGAATAAGCCATGATCAGGCGAGCCTATAAGATACCGAATGATGTGACGAACAACAGCCAAGTGCATATGATGTGGAGCTTGTAAAAAATTAATTGACTTGTTGAACTATAAATGAGATATCTGGTCGTGTAATAGTAAGATAATTCAAGCTTTCAACCAATTTCATAATGTAGTAGGATCAGGAAGAGGATCCTCTTCCTCACGATGATACTTTACATTCATCTCCAATGGAGTATCAACTGAAGAATAATTTTGAAGGCCAGCCAAAACAATCAGATCTTGAGTGCACTGGTGTTGATGTAAGAACACACCAGAAGAATTAAAATGAACCTCTAATATTAAAAAATATGTAAGAGAATCAAGTTCTTTCATACGAAAAGAATCCTTATGATGTTGTGAGAGACTAATTCAATAAAGAATTAGTTTTTGTGATAAAAATGTCATCTACATATACAAGAAAAAAACACAACCTCTAGCTATTTTGCGAAGTGTAAGAATTAGGGAAAGGAATACTAAATATTTTCTTATATTTTATTGAAATAAAAGTAGGAATATATATACATGTAGACGGATTCATATATAGTAAACAACATAAATTACTCTAATAATTTTCTTCCTAGTTAAACTTACATAGTTGGAAATATAATCATACTATTATGTTAGGAAATATTCTATAATATTGTAACACTCCCTCTCAAACTGAAGTATAAATATTAATCATGCGTAATTTGTTTCGAAGGTACTCAATCCGTGTTTTATTCAGAGACTTTGTGAATATATCACCAAGTTGTTCTCCTGTCTTCACATAACCAATAGATATAAAGTTTTTTTGAATCTTTTTCTGGATGAAGTGAATCAATCTCGATATGTTTGGTTGTCTCATAATACACAAGATTTGAGTCAATATGAAGGACAGCCTGATTATCGCACCAAAGTTTTGTAGGAGATATGGGATTCAAACCAACTTCTTCTAAAAGATAATATATCCATAAGACTTCAAATGTGTATTGGGCCATAGTTCTATATTTAGACTCTGCACTTGAGTTAGATACAACTGTTTACTTTTTATTTTTCCATGATACGAGATTCCCACCAACAAAAACATAATAGTCCGTAGTAGATCTCCTATCAATTTTCGATCCAGCCCAATCAGTATCTGTAAAACATTCAGTGTGAGTATGTCCGTGATTTCTAAACATTACACCGAGTCCCGATGTACTTTTTAAGTAATACAGAATCTATTCCAGAACCTTCCAATGTTTAACTGTAGGTGTAGACATAAATTGACTTATAATACTGACAGGATATACAATATCTGAACGAGTTACAGTGAGAATTAAATTTCCCAACAAGTCGCCTGTACTTTTCTGGATTATCAAGGAGATCACCATCATCTTTTGTAAGATGTACATTTGGTACCATAGGCGTATTGCATGGCTTAACTCCCAGTTTTCCTGTTTTTGCAAGTAGATCAAGTACATATTTCCTCTGAGATAAAAAAATCCCTTTCTTACTTTTTGTTACTTCAACCCGCAATAAATAGTTTAGTTGTCCAAAATTTTTGGTATTGAACTTGGTATGCAAGAATAACTTGAGAGATGATATTCCTGTATAGTCATCTCCTGTAATCACAGTATCATCAACATAAATAAGAAAAAGTATAATACCAGTTGTTGATTGTGTATAAAAGACTGAATGATCATATTTGCTCATCCTCAATCCGAATTCACATACTACTTCACTAAACTTGCTAAACCACGTACGGGGACTCTACTTCAGACCATATAAAGATTTATTCAGATGACAAATTTTTTCGTACTCCCCCTGAGTAACAAATTCAGGTGGTTGCTACATATACACTTCTTCTAAGAGATCACCATGAAGAAATGCATTTTTAATGTTTAGCTGGTGTAAGGACCAGTTTCTGGAGGCTGGAATAGATATGAATAAATGAACAAAGGTAAGTTTTGCCATTGAAGAGAATATATCAGAATAGTCCACCCCCCTAAGTTTGAGCATAATATTTTCCTATCAATCGAGTTTTAAGTCCTGTCATAGAGCCATCTAGATTCACTTTGACTGCAAATACCCATTTGTTCTCCACAGCCTTTTCTCCTTTGGGAAAATTTACCAGATCGCAGGTATGATTATCATCAAGAGTATTTATCTCATCAAACATGATATTACGGCAAGTAGGGTGGTTCAGAGCATTCTTAACTGCCTTGGGTATGGAAGTAGAATCTATAGAATTAATTAAAAAGCTAGACGAATGAGACAAATGATCATATGAAATGAAGTTAACAATAGGATAAGGAAAGTGAGGAATGGTGCATTGACGTGTACTTTTACGAAAAATGATGAAAAGATCAAGATCATGGGTGGAAGGATCACATGACGAAAAAGCTGGTGCATGACATGTATCATTACTCTGTTTTCCTCTGGAATAAACATGAATAGTGGGTGGTGGTTTTTGAGTTTGAGGCATACCATCATCAATTTATTCAGAAGACACATTAGAAGAAATACCATTATTTGGTTGCTCTATAGAGGTACTGTTCTGAAATCTATAAATGAGCCACTCATTGTCCTTCACCTGATCTGTAGAACTGGACTATGAGGAGAAAAATGGTATACTCTGTGAAAAGATTACATCTGTTGACACTAGATATTTATTGAGATTTGAAGAGTAAAACCAATATCCCTTTTGTAGGTGAGAATATTCCAAAAAGACACTTCAAGACTTTGGGATCCAACTTAGTAATATTTGGTCAAACATCTCGAACATAACAAGTACTACCAAATATCCGTGGCTGTATCGAAAACAATATTTTATTTGGAAAAAGAATATTATAAGGAATATCACCTTCAAGTACTGCAGACGGTAGACGATTAATCAGGAAACAGACAGTGGATACAACATCAGCCCATAACTGCTTAGGGACTTTTATCTGAAACAAGAGGGCTCGAGAAATCTCAAGTTAATACTTATTTTTTCTCTCAGCAACCCCATTTTGAGATGGTGTATTAACACAAAAAGACTGATGAAGAATCCCATGCTGAGTCATATAATTCTGAAATGGGTCTGACATATATTTTTTAGCATTATCACTTCTTATCACATGCACAAAAACATTAAATTAAGTT